AATAATGCAAAAGTAGGATGTCCTATCAGAAGCTAACATCTCAGAGAATTGGTAGTGTTTGCATCACAGCTTCATTCAACACAGAGCTTGATGAAGCACCACAGTAGGTGACGGATGGGCCTCTGTGTTCAGTTTCTCGCGGAATTTCTGTCTTGGATGGTGATGTTGAGTGGTGTCCCTCCACATCATATCTATGTGAATGACCCACGGCATCAGGTGGTGTGATGCTCTCACTCACCCTCGCTCAACTGAGTCCCTCTAACCTTAGCGAAATGCTGCTTTATATCTCACTGACAGTGAAGATCAATAGTGAAGGCTTCGCTCAGTGGGTGATGGTTGGGGTCCAGTTCAGCTTCTTGTGGGATTGCTGACACGTGTTCGGGAGGTGTTGTGCTGAATTTGGTGGAGCTAGAAGGAGGCCAGCACCTCCTGTGCTGTGGTGCATGAAAAACAACAACAACAACAATAATAATATATTTGCAAATAAGCTGTGATGCAGCGACTACCAATGGGAGAACAGAAAGTTGTCCGCCACCGGATACAGAAAAAAGAAGACAAATAATAAAAACGAATAAAGAATAATAGAAAAAACTAAAATTATAATAACAAATAATTAATTTAATTGTAGCAGCAAATACTACATGTAAATAATAATAATAATAAATTGTATAATAATAACATAAATTATATAATTATATGTATAATAAAATAAAAAAATAATTGACATTTTTTCTAAATAAAAAAATAACTATCATTAAATATATAACTATCATTATGCACAAAAAAAATTAAAATTAAAGTTCATTTTGTGTGGGTTTTTTTATGTTGAATGTGTGGCTGTTTAGCGTCTCATATACTAAGCATAAGTAAATGTGGAAGTAAATGTGCTCAAATAAACAGTCCAGTGCAGTGGTGGGCAAGAGGGAGATTATATGGATATCGCTGGAGACATGGAGGTGAGTACAGGAGATCGCTGGAGACTCAGAGGCGAATAGAGGAGAGTCAGAGGCGAGTAGATGAGAGTCAGAGGCGAGTAGAGGAGATCGCTGGAGACTCAGAGGCGAATAGAGGAGATCGCTGGAGACTCAGAGGCGAAAAAATAACTAAAATGCTAACAAGTAGTGATTAAAAACTATATAATAATTAAATATATCATAACAAAATAAAATGGATGATGAAAATAATAATAACGATGATACAGAAAAGAAAAATAATAGCAAAAAAAAAACAAACTTAAATGGTAATTAGGGGTGAAACAATATCTTGTGCCACAATAAATCACAATACAAAAATGCAACATGTGTATTGTGGATAGTATATCACAATACAAATATATATCATGTATAGTTCACCCAAAATGAAAGTTCAAAGTACCGTGATCATGAGAGTATCGTCTCGTGAGATCAGTAATGTGTATCAAACCGAATCGTGATGAGTGTTACACCCCTAGTATGACAAATAATTTTAATAATAAGATGTATAATAATGCAAAAGTAGGATGTCCTATCAGAAGCTAACATCTCAGAGAATTGGTAGTGTTTGCATCACAGCTTCATTCAACACAGAGCTTGATGAAGCACCACAGTAGGTGACGGATGGGCCTCTGTGTTCAGTTTCTCGCGGAATTTCTGTCTTGGATGGTGATGTTGAGTGGTGTCCCTCCACATCATATCTATGTGAATGACCCACGGCATCAGGTGGTGTGATGCTCTCACTCACCCTCGCTCAACTGAGTCCCTCTAACCTTAGCGAAATGCTGCTTTATATCTCACTGACAGTGAAGATCAATAGTGAAGGCTTCGCTCAGTGGGTGATGGTTGGGGTCCAGTTCAGCTTCTTGTGGGATTGCTGACACGTGTTCGGGAGGTGTTGTGCTGAATTTGGTGGAGCTAGAAGGAGGCCAACACCTCCTGTGCTGTGGTGCATGAAAAACAACAACAACAACAATAATAATATATTTGCAAATAAGCTGTGATGCAGCGACTACCAATGGGAGAACAGAAAGTTGTCCGCCACCGGATACAGAAAAAAGAAGACAAATAATAAAAACGAATAAAGAATAATAGAAAAAACTAAAATTATAATAACAAATAATTAATTTAATTGTAGCAGCAAATACTACATGTAAATAATAATAATAATAAATTGTATAATAATAACATAAATTATATAATTATATGTATAATAAAATAAAAAAATAATTGACATTTTTTCTAAATAAAAAAATAACTATCATTAAATATATAACTATCATTATGCACAAAAAAAATTAAAATTAAAGTTCATTTTGTGTGGGTTTTTTTATGTTGAATGTGTGGCTGTTTAGCGTCTCATATACTAAGTATAAGTAAATGTGGAAGTAAATGTGCTCAAATAAACAGTCCAGTGCAGTGGTGGGCAAGAGGGAGATTATATGGATATCGCTGGAGACATGGAGGTGAGTACAGGAGATCGCTGGAGACTCAGAGGCGAATAGAGAAGATCGCTGGAGACTCAGAGGTGAATAGAGGAGATCGCTGGAGACTCAGAGGCGAGTAGAGGAGAGTCAGAGGCGAGTAGATGAGAGTCAGAGGCGAGTAGAGGAGATCGCTGGAGACTCAGAGGCGAATAGAGGAGATCGCTGGAGACTCAGAGGCGAGGAGAGGGAGATCGCTGGAGACTCAGAGGTGAATAGAGGAGATCGCTGGAGACTCAGAGGTGAATAGAGGAGATCGCTGGAGACTCAGAGGCGAGGAGAGGTGATCGCTGGAGACTCAGAGGTGAGTAGAGGTGATCTCTGGAGACTCAGAGGTGAGTACGGGAGATCGCTGGAGACTCAGAGGTGAATAGAGGAATTCGCTGGAGACTCAGAAGAGGCGAATAGAGAAGATCGCTGGAGACTCAGAGGTGAATAGAGGAGATCGCTGGAGACTCAGAGGCGAGTAGAGGAGAGTCAGAGGCGAGTAGATGAGAGTCAGAGGCGAGTAGAGGAGATCGCTGGAGACTCAGAGGCGAATAGAGGAGATCGCTGGAGACTCAGAGGCGAATAGAGGAGATCGCTGGAGACTCAGAGGCGAGTAGAGGAGATCGCTGGAGACCCAGAGGCGAGTAGAGGTGATCGCTGGAGACTCAGAGGTGAGTAGAGGTGATCACTGGAGACTCAGAGGTGAGTACGGGAGATCGCTGGAGACTCAGAGGTGAATAGAGGAGATCACTGGAGACTCAAGAGGTGAGTACAGGAGATCGTTGGAGACTCAGAGGTGAGCACAGGAGATCGCTGGAGACTCAGAGGTGAGTACAGAAGATCGCTGGAGACTCAGAGGTGAATAGAGGAGATCACTGGAGACTCAAGAGGTGAGTACAGGAGATCGTTGGAGACTCAGAGGTGAGCACAGGAGATCGCTGGAGACTCAGAGGTGAATAGAGGAGATTGTTGGAGACTCAGAGGTGAGTACAGAATATCGCTGGAGACTCAGAGGTGAGTATAGAAGATCGCTGGAGACTCAAAGCTTAGTATAGGAGATCGCTGGAGACTCAGAGGTGATTGGAGACTCAGAGGTGAGTATAGAATATCGCTGGAGACTCAGAGGTGAGTATAGAAGATCGCTGGAGACTCAAAGTTTAGTATAGGAGATCGCTGGAGACTCAGAGGTGAGTAGAGGAGATCGCTGGAGACTCAGAGGTGAGTACGGGAGATCGCTGGAGACTCAGAGGTGAATAGAGGAATTCGTTGGAGACTCAGAGGTGAGTATAGAATATCGCTGGAGACTCAGAGGTGAGTATAGAAGATCGCTGGAGACTCAAAGTTTAGTATAGGAGATCGCTGGAGACTCAGAGGTGAGTATAGGAGATCGCTGGAGACTCAGAGGTGAGTACGGGAGATCGCTGGAGACTCAGAGGTTAGTATAGGAGATCGCTGGAGACTCAGAGGTGAGTATAGGAGATTGCTGGAGACTTGGAATGGAACAGGTAAGACGTTGATGAAGGATCCCTTACAGGCACAGTCTGAGAGTCCATAAGGGTGACCAGACAATGAGTGCTCCTCAAATGGAAGGACGCTTCCTTATAAGGCTGCATATCTGAAGGATGCATCAAGTCCTTCGCTTCCTTTAATCACCCACAATCTTTTCCAATCCATGAAAAATTAATTAGATGAAAATGAATCAACATTGTTCCATTTCATTATGTTATGCAAGACAAAAGAAAAAAAATTAAGGTGAAGCCAAGGCATTATGTTTTGTTTTGTTACAAATCAATCACATAATGCTAAACTGTGCTGCATAAATGTAAACCACTGGGAGACCACTAATGGTTGTCATTGCCTGTGCTGCATTAGTAGAAAGTCTGTTAAAGGGGTCATATGATGCAATTTCAATTTTTCCTTTCTCTTTGGAGTGTTACAAGCTCTTGGTGCATAAAGAAGATCTGTAAAGTTGCAAAGACTAAAGTCTCAATTTGTAAAAATCGACGCGTTTCAGAAAGGTGGGGCATAGAGGAGAAACAATAATGTACAGTATGTGGAAAATAATGTGTTTTTTTAACTTTAAACCGCATAAACACATTTCATTACACCAAATACACAAAATAATGTTCTTTTCAGCAGCATCATATGACCCCTTTAATATAAAATATTTCAATATAAAGTATTCTTCAAATTATAATTCTAGTAGTATTTTCATGCCTAGTAGTAGTATCTAGTAGTATTTTCATTTTATGACGTAACCATGTGCACTTACTAGACTGTCTCATTCTAGCGTTTAATGCTGAGAAGGACTCTAGCCTTGAAACCTCAAAAAGACACATCCTCACTTAGGAAGCGTCCTAATATAAATTGGTGCTTATTTTCAAGTACAAATGCACAGTGCTCACTTTTTTCTGTGCATTAAATTACAGATGAAAAATTACATATCAGTTTGTGCCTTATATTGTGATCTCACACAGCAGTATACAGTATTTTAGTCTAGAATTGAGTGCAACACACAGCAGTAGCGTCATCCTGCCAGTGAGTGGCGCTGTGACAAACATACTCCTCTCGCTCTCTCTGACACTCACATCCGCCGCAAACATGGCAGACGAGGTGGATGTTGTTGATATCGAGGGAGATGAATGTGATGAAAGAGTCGGGTAGGAGATCATTCACTCATTCCCCGCTGTTTGGGGAATATTATAGACTTGTGCTTTGATACGTTTGAATTCATGGATGAGCAGAAATGAGACCGGAGCGAAGGAAAAACGACTGACAGGATTAATATGAACTTCATTAATGTTACTTGCTATCGAGTACACACTATCGGCTCATTATATTTAGCATCAAATCATTAAAGCATGATCTGTTCAGCAGTAACTGTAATGTCACATCAATGTTCTTTACAACCGCTTTTTACAGAAATGTTCCTGCTTCAGTACAAAATTAAGAAAAAAGAGCTGACGATTATTAAAGAAAATAATGCAAACCTATCCCTCAGTTTGTAAAACCAAACACATCGCATGTACGTTAATTTACTTACAATGGAAACCTGTGTGGGGCAAGACTTTTCATTGGAATACACGCTCAAATTCACATTGTTTTACCACAAAACGTATATATTATACGTGTTAACATAAAACTTCAATGAACAAAAACTTCAATTTATATAACGCACATTTTTGTATAGAATAATCAATAAAATAGTTTGAACAAAAATGCGCTTTTAAATCCTCTGTAATCTTGTACTCTACAGTCTAATTGTGTAAATGAGTTACTGTAAACACATTCTTTCAGAATTAACATCTTTTATTATTTGTATGCTCTCTTAACAGCGACCTGAGCAGTGCTGAGATTCTCCAGGATCAATACTTACAGTCTGCTTGGAAGACAAACAGCAATATACTGGTAACAGTAATATGGATTTTAAAGGGCCAGCTCACCCCAAAATGAAAACTGTTGTCACTTTTTTTTAACACTATATGTACAGAGACTCTGAAAACGGATATGATGTGTTGTTGTTGTTGTTGTTGTTATTGTGTGTGTTCAGCCCTGGACACTGGACAGCTCCATCAGCGATGAGAACAGACAGGCCATTGAGAGCATGCTGCTGGAGGAACAGTATCCTTCACACTTCTCACAACACACTGATTCATTTTTATTTTGTTTATGTTTGGTTTTCACATCCCATAATGGACGATGGATGTGATCATTTATTAAGAGAATGTGGTTGTTTTTCTTAATAAAGCAAGGTATTATTTTTCCAGTAAGAAAGCACCAAAGGTGGCATGGACCAATGAGAAGACTAAAGTGAAAAAGTGAGCTCCCTTCTTTTATCCATTTATGTTCATGAATATGTAAACACCTACAAGACCGTTCAAAAGTTTGAGGTATGTTAGAATTTTTAAATACTAATAATCCAGCAAGAACACACAAAAATGACAGTAAAGACATTGTTACAGAAGTTTTCGATTTGTAATAAATGCTGAAAATTCAGCTTTGTTGTCACAAGAATAAATTACAGTTTAATATACATTAAAATAGAAAACTATAATTTTAAATTCTAATATTTCATATGTCTGTTTTGCTGTATTTTTTTATCAAATAGCCTTGGTGAGCATAAAAGACTTCTTCAAAACATTTAAAAATCTTACCGACCCCAAACCTTTGAATGGTTGTGTGTGTGTGTGTGCATAAGTACAGTAATTCACTCAGAATGTCTTTGTAGGACATTGGTGAAGAGTTCTGGAGCACAAACTCGTTGGGTTGAAGAGGAGAAGGATCTCTTTGAGAAAGGACTGGTATGTTTTCTGAACACAGAACTCAGAACTCTCTCTCGCTCTTGCGCTCTCTCTCTCTCTCATAAAAGGAATTAAATTGTTTTTTGTGTTTTTTTACAATTTTAATGGTTTCAAGGCTCAGTTTGGCCACAGGTGGACAAAGATTGCCAAACTAATCGGCACTAGGTCAGTTCTACAGGTGAAGAGCTATGCTAAGCAGTACTTTAAAAATAAGGTATGACTTCAGCCCATTTCCACATTACCATATGAAAATTCATACGCTTTTAGTTCAGATGTGTTTACGGCTTTTAAATTAACTAATTTAAGGGAATAATGATAAATATAGACATCCAAGGGGATATTTTAAAAATCTAAATTAAAAATACATTTGCCATGTTCTTGGATTATGATCGTTTAATACTTTATATATATATATATAAACATTTGTGCTGCTTAATATTTGATGGAAACCACAATACATTTTTTTCAGGATTCTTTGAATAGAAAGTTTAAAAGAACAGCATTTATTTAAAATTGAAATCTTTTGTACAATTATAAATGTCTTTACTATCACTTTGGATCAATTTATTGTGTCCTTGCTAAATGAAAGTATTGATTCCTTTAAAAAAAAAAAAACATTGTAATAAAATAAATGAACGTAAAGAGTTTCTTTCAGTAAGCATCCCCTTATCAGTGATATTTTATTTGTGTTTGAACTTTAGTCTAAAACGGACACACCTGCTGAAGTGCCCTCCTCTAATGTGACTTCAGACACCTCGATCCAGCCTCACATCTCAGCCCTGACCAATGCTGTGCGCATCGAGCAGCTTTCTGATGATGAAGATGTTGACATCACTGATGACTTCAGTGAAGTTGGGCTTCAGTCTGAAAACCAGCCAGAGCCCCCAGGCTCCCCGGAGTGCAACCGCAAAGAAGAACTCAGTCCAATGCCACATCCATCAGACGTACTTTTAAACCCTCTGTCTGAATCAGGAAGCACAGCTGTAGATGGACCCACTGATCCAGACGCTGGCATCACTCATATTGGGATTGATCCAGAACCAAAGGAGGAAAGTGGGACCCACTTCTCTAAATCAGGCAGTCCAGGCAAACACAGCCTGTCTGAGGAGGAGAGCACTGAAAGCGCAGGTACCTCGACATCACTAACATTCATTTAATCTTTGTAACAGTAGCATCCCATTAGCTTTAGCAGTTATAGGTAATGTATTCTTGTACTCCAGATAAGACTGAATCAGGTGAATGTCCTGAGGAGGAGGTGGAGGAAGACCAGGAGGAGGAGGAGGAGCTCAGAGCTCCTGAACAGGAGGTTGTGTTGGACTTAAATACCATCACAGATGAGGAGAAGCATGCCATTCCAGAATTCTTTGAAGGGCGTCCATCAAAAACCCCTGAGAGATATCTAAAAATCCGCAATTACATCCTGGACCAGTGGTGAGACGTTGTTCTGTGCACTTCTGAGGAACATTTTCAAGTTCTTACATCGATTGTCCTTCTAACTGAACATACTATTTGAGTGTTTTTTTTTTAAATTATTTATTTTTTTAATGAAACCGTAAAAATTACACACAATATGTTTTGAATATGGTTTGTTATTTTTATACTTGTTTTTATTATAAAAAACATTTTTAATTGTATGCCCATGTTATTTTTATGCTCACCAAGGCTGCATTTATTTAATCAAAAATATAGAAAAAAAACATAATATTGTGAAATATCATTACAATTTAAAATAGCTGTTTTCTGTCAGTACTGAAAAAAGTTGTGCAGCTTAAAATATTTATGGAAACCATTATACTTTTTTTCAGTATCCTTTGATCCTTTTATCCAGTATCCTTTTATTTATTTATTTTTTTAAACTTACTGTCTTTTTTGATCAATTTAATGCATCCTATCTGAATAAAAGTATTAATTTCTTTCAAAAGAATAATCTTACTGACCCTAAACTTTTGAATGGTATTGTAGGCATATTAAAAACTTGATATTTTTTTGAAAATGAACTTCTCTGATGTCTGTTAAGGGGGAGAAGTAGACCCAAATACCTGAACAAGACATCGGTGCGTCCAGGCTTGAAGAATTGTGGGGATGTCAACTGCATCGGTCGGATACACACCTACCTGGAGCTCATTGGAGCTATTAACTTCAACTGCGGTAATGCTTATTGCTCAGTCAGTTTTCTCTTTTTTTCTCTTCACCATCTTCCTGTTTTCTTGAGTACATTTTCCTTCCCTAAACTCTCTTTCTCCCTTCCTCTGCAGATCAGGCTATCTATAACCGTCCGCGGCTGGTTGATCGCTCTCGGCTAAAGGAAAACAAAGACAGCCTGGAGACGTATCATCTTGCCCAGAGGCTGCAGTCTGTGGTGAGAAAGAATTACAGCTCACTGTTACAGTTCTCATCATCATTATCTGTGGATGATTATCTATTACCAGAACTGTTTTCATTTATCTACTCGTTTAATTATTGTTCTAATGTAATGTGTGTTTGCAGCGCACAAGGAAGCGGCGCATTCGGGACATGTGGGGGAATTGGTGTGATGCTAAAGATCTAGAGGGTCAGACATATGAGGTATAGGAACTCAAAATCTGCAGTTCTTCTTAGAACTGAAATATAATCTACAGAAAAGTACTCCAGCACAGATTGTGTTTATGGCCTGATACGATTAGAATCTATTTTTAAGATTGACATAAAAATGGTCATTAAATGATTCTTGTTTACAAGAATCAAGAATAAAGCATCATTGTGTGATTTTTTTTAAAATTTTTTTTTTGTTGATCCAAGACTAAATTTAAATATCTTTACCCTTAATAATTTTTTTTTGATGAATGTAATAATATATGTACATTTTTAATGGTTTTCTTTTTAGGAAAATTATTTTTGTTTGTCCTTTCTCATTTTTGACCCCTGATTTCTGTGGGTTATTTGTCATCCAGCATCTGAGCGAAGAGGAACTGGCCATCAAAAGAGAGGAGATGAAGAAGAAAGGACCAAAACCATGTAAACTACCCAAACAGAGAGGGTAAACACACACTCACTTACAAAACTGAAGCTTTTAACATCTAGAACTGAACATCATTAATAGCCAATAGTTTGTTTAATGATCTTTCCTTGACTTTGTCCTCTGCAGGTCTTTTGATCCATTCCAGCTCATTCCATGCAAAGCTTTTGGAGAGGAAACCGAGGTAATAATTATTATTACTTGTTAGAGCCCGACCGATATGGTTTTTTTGGGGCCGATACCGATATTAGGGAGTAAAAAGGGCCGATATCAATATATCGTCTGATATTCTTTGTGTATATTATAGTACAGTACCGGTCAAAAGTTTGGACACTTTCCCATTCGTGTGTCCAAACATTTGACTGGTACTATATATAGAATACAGTATATACATAAACAGAATATATATACATAACACACATTTTTGCAATGATCACTCAAAATGTGGTGATCAAACACTTATAATAACGTGACAGAGATACGTAATGGAGGCAGGGCATTTAACAATTTAACAATAAACTTTATTATCCAAAATGAGTCTGACATCAGTGTACTGAACAGTAAAGTTGACGTTTATTCAACTTTAATTCAATTCAATTCCATTCAACTTTATTCCTTTGAAGTTTATTTCACTTCGGAACATTCATTCACGGATTTTCGCTACTGTCTTCACACACAGACGAAACTTACTAGAGAAGTGTGAAGTGTGACA